GATTAATAAAATTTTGAACTGCATAAGGCATAACATTTCCGATTATTAAAATGATCATCAGGTGGTCGGATATTTATGGTAGGGGAGTGTATATCAATATGTAATGATATTTTTTCATTGAATGATCTGTTATTATTATTATCATCATAAAGAGAGTGAACTGTATATCAATATATTTATATTCTAAATCTTTTACCTGTCATTTCATTTATTGAATACTAGAGTTGCCTTTCTAAACTCTAACCTCTTTTTTAAATTAGTTTAGAAACCCTAAACTACTACTTTCAAAACTAACCCGAAACTCCTAAACTGTTTTTATGACATATGATGTGTAATCATGATTATGGAAATAATTCTATTTTCTTTTCAAGTGACCAAAGTTTTTATCAAAGTTCATTTTATTTGATATTATTGTCCTGACAATTAAATCATTGATTTATTTTTAAAATATATTATAACTTTCTTATTTGCTCTAATATAATTTTTCCTCTTTCTTAAAAATATATAAATTTTTTTAATCACAATAATGTCAAACAATACTGATGTTGATATAAATAGTTCATCAAATTCAAAAAAACTTGGTGGGCGATCAAAAAATGCAGTTAGCAACATTTTGAATGTTATCCTTCAAAACATCCAGGACATCTGGAGCCAAATGCAAAGCATGTAATTGTGAATGGAGTAATGGAGTTGTTAATAAATTGCAAGTCCATTTGGTACATGAATGTGAATACATTAAAGAAGAGATCAAAAAAAGATATATGTATATTGTTGCAGAAAGAGATGATGTAAGTGAATCTTTAGAAAATACAGCATATAAAGTAAATACACAATCACTTGCTAATTTTTGGGATAAAAATGAGATATTATCAAAAGAATGTGCAGGAATTATAGATTGTTCAATTTTAAAGGCTTTTGAGGTTTGTGGTATCCCCTTTAGAATAATTGAAATCCCTTTTTTCATCAACATGATAAAAAATCTCAGATCAAATTATAAACCACCTTTATGAGATTGTCTTAATACTAAATTATTATCAGATGAAGCTGTTCGTGTAGATATAAAAAATTAATAATATTTTAGAAAAGGTTAACAACTTGACATTGAGTATGAATGGTTTTTATTTTATTAAAATTATTTGTTTGGTTGGAATTTTTAGGAGTTTCAAAAACAGTTTAGGAATTTGGGCTCATTTTCTAAACCAGTTTAGAATGGTTTTAATTTTGAATAGTTCTAAACTCATGAGTTTCAGAAGGTAACTCTGCCAACCAGTAAATAATCCTGAAATAAATTCACTTGATTATTATCCAACAAATCAATTCCATTAATAACTTTGACTTTCAGTTTCATGATAAAGTAAACTTTTTTAATTTCTCAGAATAATTTGTTTGCTGGACTGTTGCATCCAATAATGAATCTACCAATGAACCAAAAACCCCTGCAAATGATGAAATTATAATTATTTCATGCCAGATTTTTACACAGCTACCTGTTACCACAATAGTTATTAATTCAAAGATGCCAATTATAAATCCATCCATAACTGAAGCTAATAAACTTAATGATGATACGCCTCCATTTGCACAGATGGAACCTAATTTAATCATTTGATTGGAATTGGAATGGGTGAAATGGAATTGATCATTATATTTATTTATTCTTTCTTTTTTTTTATCCCCCCAAAAAAGACCAACCTTTTTAAATGTTGTATTGATGTTGATCAATCAATCCTTTCCTAGTAACCTTGTAGATGACAACAGCGCAAAATGGAATTTGAATAGTTTATTTGTAAAGAAACTTCCTACACCACTTGTGCAAAACTCTAGATAATAAAAATAATATATTTATTTTAATATTTTCATTAATTAAAAAATTTTTTATTATGTTATTTCTTTACAAATTTATGGCACAATCATATTATGTGTCCAATGAGCATTGATTGGCAATCCAATTGGAGTGCCAACTCTGTATTAGTGGTCTTGCCCACTGAATAAAATTCGCAGAGTAATCGCCGATTATCCGATTAATTAAATGTAAAAAAATTCATTGACAATTGATTAATCGATCGTTGAAATCATTCAACGATTAAATAATCGGATAATCGGCGATTAGTCGTTGAATAATAATAATAATAATAATAATAAAATAAAGGTAAAAATATTTCCACAAGATTTATTAATCCTTGTGGAAATACTAGAAATGATTTTGTCTCTTTATTTTCAATTAGAGACTGGAATCGGTTAATTTAATCACATGAAATTTTTTAAATGGTAAATTCGATAGTAATAGTGTATTGATATGCATTATATCCAACCCAATTAAAAAAAATTTTACTTTATCAGTTCTATGTTTCTTTCATGGTCCTTGTAGTGATAATGATAATAATAATAGTAGCAGAAAGTAATTGACATCTTTTTTTAGTCAATTAATAATAATGGTTATAGTAATTGGTTTTCCTTTGTAGTGATAATATTCTAAAAAAAATTTCTACTGGCAAATGGGTTTCTATTCGAATAAAATTATTTGTTTTACTCATTATAAATTTGAGTATTCGAATTACGTTGATGTTTATTCGAACAAAACAATAATTAATAATAAGCGAATAAGATTGAGTTGCACAAATAAAATGAATAAATAAAACAAATCGTCGAATTAATATTAAAATTGGAAGTGCATTGTACAACAACTGTATTATCGGGTATTTACGATATTTTAATTCGATTATCAAATTTAGATTCGACTGATTATCTGGATGTTAACTTCTATTAATTGACCGATTAGATATAAACAAAATTAATATTAGCTCATTGATTAAAATTTGGAATTTCAAATATTAAGTTCAACCAGTTTTTAGTTTAAGGAAAAAACTAGCCAATAATTTTTGAAGCAATTAATTTGATTATAGATGATCTGCACCGTATTATTCGTGGACATGGTGACTAAAAAGGATTTGATCTGTCTACAGCATATGCGAACAGGGGATAGAAAGGAGAAGTTGTACAAAATAGGATATAACTTGTCTGTATCTGGGAAAATTTAACCACGTGAATTTAGCGAGTTTCTGTCAGAATATCCTATCATTATATATTCCAATCACGGCCAGTGGAAATAGGATAAGCCTGTCGGAAAATGCCCGCATTAGTATTAGGTGTAGCAGATCCATGAATGGATTCTAAATAGGGATCGGCGGAGGAAAAATGACGAATTTTATTAATTAATCGACGATTTTGTATAAAAAATAGTACTATTAAGGTAATATTTTCTTCATTTTGCATTATAAAACAAGGATATCAAAAAAAGGACTTACTCTTGTGAGTATGTGATTTTCCATAAAAAAGCAACTTATTAAAAAAATAATTAATCAAATGATTGGACTTTTAAAACTATTCCGAAACTCTAAATTGTTTTTAAACTCCGAAACTATTTTGAAATCAAAATCATTTCAAAACTTCCAAAATTTTAAAAAACAAAATGATGCCATAAGTGCTTCATGTGAAAAAAAAGGTTCAATTAAAATCTTTTTCAAAAACAAATCGAAAAATATTTTTTAGGGTTTAATCACGCGATGTGGCTGCTTAATAAAATGATCGACACACCCTTGGCTATGTTAAAAAATAGATCAACACTAATGACAAATCATTGACAAATCAAATGATTTAAAAAATCAACGTTGAAAAATAAAAAAAAAAAAAAAATTTCCTATATACATATTTTTTTCTTTCATCAAATTATGCAAAAATGCAAAGTAAGAGCTTATTTTTATTATTGTTTTCTATATAATATTTCTCAATGATTATTAAACTATTAACCAGAATAAAATAGTGTTGGACATAATAATTATCACCAAGATCTGAGAGAAACTTTAAATTATTATTATTATTATTATTAATTGTTCTAATAAATAAACTGATAAATATTAATATTTATATGTACCATAGCTTTTAATAATTGGGTAAAGGTGAATTGATCTTTTGTCTTTATCTTCAGGTACATATATTATATATATTATTATTTATACATCTATTTGTAACGATGATTTTCTCTACTTACGGAGGGACAAAGGAATACTTATGTTAAGTAAGAATCCACCTTTGCTCTCAGGGTGGTGAAATAAATAGCTGAACAAAACATTATTTTTCATTATTTTTTTTTTTTAAAAAAAAAAATCACTAAATTTTATTTTCTATTTTTTATTTTAGAAACAAACGGTTGTAATATTTAATATTTCCATTTTTAATGCATCGCTATACCACTATAGTCATTATTATCATCCTTTCTATCTTTGTGAAATTCCCCTAAAAATTAATTTATTCATTATTTTCTATCAATCTGTTGCATGTGTGTGGTGGAGATTTACATAATAATAAATATATAAAATGATTGGCCTATCTATTTTATTCCAATAAACTTTTATCCTATATATTTTTAAAAAATTGTTTTTTTTAACTTTTAACATTCTTTTTTTTATTAGCTATATATATAATAAATAAAAACCTTTTTTTAAAACAATTACCTCTCTTTTTAATAAAGAAAAAAATCCTTTATAATCCGATTCATTCAATACGCACCCATAATACTTTTTTTTATAAAATAAAAAATTATTAAAAATGATTAAAAAAGTGTCAAAATCTTTTAATAACTTAGGTTTACCAAGGTCCAAATCACTCAATGATGCTACTAACACAACTTCTTCTTCTTTCATTTCTATATCATCACCGTCGATTTCAAAATTATATTCTAGACTATTACCTAGTAATAATTCTTCCAAAAAACCTTCGATTGCTCAATCATATAATGCACCAATTGCACTGGATCGTTATTTAACCAATGAAGGTCATCGTCTGGTTATTTCTCATCTACGTCTATCAAAAATTCAAACTGATATAAAAAATGGCCGCTTACACGATTTAACTGAAAAAGATATTGATGATTTTTTAAAAAGTTACAATGGTGTGGCTACGAATTCTTACGAAACTTTAAATTATCAAGAATTAAAATTATCTCTGCCAGAATGTAAATTGCTGGCAATGTTATTAAAGTTTGGCAATTTATTGAACATTAAACATTTAAATTTATCAAAAAACAATTTAAAAGATTCTTCGCTGAAATTGATTCTGAAATCATTATACAAAAACTCAACTGTCATAACATTGGATTTATCATTCAACAATTTAAATGACTCTGATGCAAAAAACATTGCCAAATTAATCAAAAAAAATAACAGAATCAAAGAATTAAATATAGCTTATAATAATATAAATGGTGAAGGTGCAAAACATCTTGCAAAAGCACTAAAAGAAAACAAGTCAATAGAAAAATTTAATCTCGAATCAAACGATTTAAATGTTGTAGGTGGCAAGCATATCGGTGATATGCTAAAGAATAATAACACTTTAAAATATTTACATTTGGGCAGAAATAATTTACAATTCGTTGGTATAAAACATATAAGTGAATCATTAGTGATGAACAAATCAATCGTCAGTTTAAGTTTAGATTCCAACAATATCCAACCAGCTGGTGTAAATGAGCTGGCTAAAGTTTTAAAAACAAACAAAAATTTAACTCATTTATATCTTCCAAGTAACAATCTTGGTGATGTAGGATTGAATCATATATGTAAAGCTTTATTACAAAACTCCACTTTAATCTATCTTGATTTGGAATTTAATAATATTGGAATGGGGTTATCTTCATTATCCAATGGCAATAATGGAATTGATGATGACGATGATGAAAATGTTAGAATAATTGGTGCAAAATCACTCGGTAAATTATTAGAAAATCACATTGTACCGAGAGCAATGAATCTAACATCAAATCCTATTGGTAATAAAGGGTGTGAATTAATATTTTCTGGATTTCATAAAAATAAAACTATGGAATCTTTATTATTAAGTAATTGTAACATCGGATTAGATGGTGCAAGGGTCATAAGTGAATCATTAAAATTCAATAATGGCTTGCAGAATCTTAGTTTACACAAAAATTTACGATTAGGAGTTGATGGTCATTTATTAATAGCTGATGCTTTGGATAAAAATACTTCGCTCAAAGGCTTACAACTCGATTATAATTTTGATGAATGGGGAAGTGTTGGTGATACAATTCAAGAATGTTTAACAAGAAATCATTTCTTACAACAAGAAAAATATAATACTGCTTACAGGATTTTAAACGCTTCCAGGATAATCCTAAATACAAAACCAAATCATAATCATCAAAAAACTAAATTGGATCAATTACCATTGGAAATCAGCGAACAAATTTTGTCCTTTTTAGACTCTAAAAATGTATTAACAGAATTACAAATTATCTCAATTGTAAAATGGTCAACAAGGAAAGATACTTTAGGATCTACTTTGGAAGATTTCCTTACTAAGACATTAAGTGCCTATTATCCTATAACTCCTGACGTACGACTTTGGCCAACTGAAGTTACTGATAGTGATACAATTACCAACAGATTTTAAATTATGTGAACTTTTAGAATTTTTAATAATCAATTAGATAAAGATTTATTATATATATATTCGTTATTTTTATTTGTCATTACTTACTTACTATTATTAAATTAATTGTATTTATTAATTATAAATTTTATTATTTTTAAAAAAAATATTTTTTGATAAAATAATTTTTTTTTTTTTACAAATAAATATCTTATTGAAGTGGTAATATTCAATAGCCACATAAAACAATCGCAAATGCCTAATTAGATAAGTGTTTTCTCCTTCAAAGATTTTCCGCCTTGGGATAAGAGTAAACTTGCCAAGAGAGTATTATGGTCACTGGATCCTTATTCTGGAAACATTAACTTTGTTGATGGTTTGATGCTATGAAATACTTATTGTATATGGTCTTATATTGGTGGAAGCCACTTTTTTGAACTACATTGATATTTTGTTGTTGCTAATAGCGTTGATGTTGGAGTTCGTCGTTGTTAGTAAAGATATTTTTATCAACTCTATTCTCTCTTTTTTGTTTAATATTTCATTTATAACGCGTCTTGTTTATTTTTTATTTTTGGAGAATGATGATTATGTCTTTTAAAATAACTATTATTTTGCCTTAAAGAAGAATATAGTAACATCGAGGATGAAAAGTGGCAGAAGTATATATAATTTCAAAGCTCTTTCTACGGCGGACGCTAAGTTAAATCACACCATAACAAACTTCTCTTTTGTCTTCCAATCAATTAATTTCTTTTCCATCGGGAATACCTAATGAATCTCTATATAGCGAATATTCATCTGATGGAAAGGAGAGAGAGGGTTATATTTATCGTGATGCCGCCCGCCATCTTATTCATCAAAAAGGTTTTAAAATAAAAAGAAAGGTTTTTAAATACGAATGACCGTAATTTCATGTTAAAACATACGACGAAAATAAAATAAGGTAATAAACAGTCTTTTATCAATTGTAAAGTTTTAAAAAAATCATCATCATATCAACCGATCGTTGTAAATTGGGTTTTTGTAACTGAATCATCAATTAGAATCACATATAGAAATATAAACCATCTATGTCGAATGGCAAACGATAGCTCTGTGGCGTTTCTGCTGCGGATTCGCAGAACATCGCAATGAGCGTTGCTACCGTTCAGGTAGAGTGAAAGAGACTTTCAACAAAGCTAGTCTACTTGTCGAGCAACGACAACTTTTCTTACTTTGCCCCTTCTTCAAACCCACTCCTTCTTTATATAATCCTTCCCTTCATTATCTTGAAATTAGTAATAAATGTCTTCTTTTTATAGTCTCTTAAAAGTATTCGTGTTCTTGGCTGAAACACTGTTCAAATCTATCATCTTAAAAATTTTCATCCAAAAATAAATCTAAAATTTCATCATTGGAACAATTATCTTTCAAACAAAACCCTTGTTCTCTGTTTGGATAATTCTCGTGATCCACTAAATAATCAGATTGAAACATTTTTAAATTGTTGGTGATGACTTTTCTTCTGGTTGAATTCAGCTCTAAAGGATCAACAATATCTGATTCATCAAGACTAAATAATTGTGTGCTGCCATCTTTATTAAAAACTATATGTGTTTCGTAAAACTTCTCTTCGACCATGATGATCTCTTTATTCTCAATACCAACAACGTTGTCATCGTCCCAAAAATCACTGTTGTCATCGTCGTCATCATCATCAGAACTTGACAATTGTTCAAATTCTTTTTCATCCAAATCTTGTATTTCGTTATCATTATTGTCAAATATCAAATCAAACTGTTCTGAATTTGATAGAAATTCATCCGGCCTGATTTCATGGTCTTCAACAGGAAAATCCTTTTTTAATTCGTTTTGAATCTTTTTTTCATTATTTGCGATCTTCTATAAAAAAAAAATAGTTAATATTTTAGAAATTATAGAAAATTAATTCAAAAAAATATCTAAATTAAATAAATTACAATATCAAGAAAAGGTGCTGGAACTTTTATATCTCTTGAAATCGAACATAAACCATCGGAAATATCACTTCTTAATTGGTCAAAAGTTAAGTCTGTATTATTATATTTTATAAAATCTTGTGAAGAAAATGATAAATTTGTGTGATTTTTGATTCTCTATATAAATTAATATAATATCTAGATTACCGATTATCGCTTTAATAACAAATGTATTCATCGTCACCATCATCATGATAATACTAAATATCAAAAAAAAATTTCGTCACCTGAACGAGTTCCATTGCTTTTGTATAAAAGTCTTCATTTGCACTATTTTTAATGATGCGTGTCAACGATTTTGAAATTGATGGAATGAAACGGTTTAAATTTTCTAATTTCTAAAAAAAAAACAATTTCGAAAGATTAGACACCGGGAAAAAATACCAATAATTTTGAATTGTATTTTATTACTTCAATGTATCCTGGAGAGAATATTAACGGGTATCGTGTAATCAATGACTTTTTCATTAAAGTTTTAAATGCGGTATCAATTGCTTGAATTTCTACCAAGATCGAATCCTGTTTTTTAGACAAAAGTTTCTTACGTAACAATGCTACGTGTGTAACGCGAAATTTTGTTAAGTTAAAATAGGGGATAAAAATTATTATTATTACTATTATTATAAGAAAAGGATATCATCATTGAATGTAATCCAATTTAAAGCAAACGTTAATTTGCATAATTCTCCAAAAGATTTAGACTGATCTAAAGAATTGATTATTTTTGAAGAAACGAATTTTTGTTTTTCAAACATGTAAAGCGAGTATTCTAACGACAAGTAATTTTAGTAACAATGAAAAAATTAAAATCATCATCATTATCATATCCGCGAACATCAAAACCAACCTTTATTATATTTACGTTGCTTCATTGCTGGTTCGGCTTCAATATGCGAAAAACCAAATTGATTCCAAATCTAATGTATAGAAAATTTTTTTTATAAAATTCCGAATAATTAAAATTGAATTTCTTTTAAATAAATAAATATTTATACTTCGGATCTACAAAGTTGTTTTAATATTATATTTTCTTTTTTTGTATTGAGACTATACAATTTTCCATCTATTCTGTTGACAAAGTGTTTTTTTTTATTATTTTGAGTTAATTGTTTAAATTTGTTAAAAAATACCGGCAATCATATATTTCCTAACAAAAAAGGATATATTTATTATAAGTTTTCCTTGTGGAAGTATCACATCCAACTTTTTCATTTCTTCATCGCAAAGGTGTTCAACATTATGATTCAATCTTACATTATTGTAGCTAATATGTTGAACGCATGTAACTTTTAACATTGTAAAGCTGGGGTTTTCTGTGGCTTTAGAAAAGGATTTCGAGTTATTCAAACAAACAGTCAAAGAGCGTTCTACTATGTGCACGGGAGTGGTTTGAGTTGCGACACTTCTTTTGGTAGAAAACATTATGATTAAATTTAGAGTTTATTTTTAAATTAATCGAGTGTGAAATTTTTTTATTCTTAAATAAATGGAATATTTTAACTAATTTTTGACTATCATTACTAAAAGTTTACTATGCTGAGGTGTAACGCACAATTTCCCAAAATTTTGAGTTTTATCGAAATTATCGAAATCTAAATTCCAATTTTTTTAAAATGGCGACTTTCAGAAATACAATAAAAAGATCGTTGCTTATTTCAAATCAAATAACATTATTATATTCACCATACTCTAGAAGAAATTCAGGTTTGGTATGAGGTTGTTATAATTATTAAATTTTTATTTAAATAAATAAATTTAGAGAATGCAATTAATATTTTTACTTGTTTGCAATATTAGTTAACTGAACGCTTGATCAACTTTAGCAAAAGAGCATATAATAGTTCATACATAGGCGGTAGCGGCAGTGGTGGTGGACCTATGGGTGATGACTCGGCAATATTTGCCAGCCCAGAGTTTCGAAATCAACCACGCTTGCCACGTAATACTGTAAGATCAAGTTTTTTTTTCGATACAAGAAAGTTAATTGACTGATTACATTCTAATATAAATAACGATTTAGATGTTTAAATTTTGAACTAGATTATCAATTTTGTCCCTCAACAAGAAGCTTGGATAGTAGAACGATTTGGAAAAGTGATTATAAAATTGATATTTCATATAATCCAATTATTTATATATTTCAATTTTAACTAATAATAAATTTAATATTTAACAATATTTAATAAACACCGTAAAGTTTGATCGTCTTTTAGAACCAGGATTGGCAATTGTTATACCATTTCTTGAAAGAATAAAATATGTTAAAAGTTTGAAAGAAATTTGTTTAAATATTCCTGCTCAAAGTGCCATTACTCAAGGTTTGCTTTATCAATTATTTACATGAATGTATGCATATATATTTTTTTTTACAAAACTAATTTTAACAAAATTTACACACACGTATATAGATAATGTCACATTAGTATTGGATGGTGTGTTATATTTTAAAATCATTGACCCATACAAGGTACTAATTAATTGATTGGGTCGGTTGGTTGATAACTCGGATAATAAAAGGTCATTAATTCACATTTATTATAATCATTGTCGTGATTTATAGGCGTCTTATGGTGTAGAAGATGCTGAATACGCTATTGCACAACTTGCTCAAACAACAATGCGTGCAGAAATTGGGCAAATGACATTGGATAGGACATTGGCGGAACGTGCACATTTGAATGCAAATATTGTTGATGCAATTAATAGTGCAGCAGATGCATGGGGTATTCGTTGCTTAAGATACGAAATTCGTAAGTTCAGAAATAAGTTATATTAATGTATTTATAAATATGAACAATTGTCATGTTTTTGATTTATTTATTTTCTTGAAACTATTTTTTCATTTTCTTGTAAATAGGTGATATTCATCCACCTGCAAAAGTCGTAGAATCTATGCATTCACAAGTTTCTGCAGAAAGATCAAAAAGAGCATCAATTTTGGAATCAGAAGGTATGCATACACATACACATACAAATAATTCGTATAACGTAATTCATTCCTTATCATTTTAATAGAAATTTAATAATAATAATAATAGTGATATTGATAATATATATACCTTAGGTCAAAGGCAGGCTGCTATTAATGTTGCTGAAGGTTCAAAACAATCTGTTATTCTGGCATCAGAAGCTCAAAAATCTGAACAGATAAACAGAGCAATTGGTAAAAAGAAAATTTTTTTACTGGTGTAAAAATTGCAATTGGAAATGCTATTAATTATATATCTATTTTTGGATGAATAATAATAATAGGTGAGGCTGAGGCAATTCTTCTTAGAGCAAAGGCTACCGCAGAAGGAATTCGTCAGATTTCAAATGCTATAAATGAAAGTAGTCGTGGAACTGACGCTGTTACTTTGACTGTTGCAGAAAGATACGTTGATGCATTTGCACAACTTGCAAAAAAAGGAAATACAATTATAGTGCCCGCTTCTGCTGGTGATGCAGGCTCGATGATTGCTCAGGTATTTATGATTATTTATATTGTTAAAGTAAATATAATTAATAAAGTCTTGAGTAATTTATTAATTATTCATTTCTTCCTTCGAAAAAAAGGCATTATCTATTTTTCAAACTGTATCAAAATCACATAATTACCAGCAACTACCTACAACATTAACCTCGCCATCACCATCTGAAGAGATTAATCCATCAGCTAATGAATGAATGAATTTTATTATTATATATTTCTGATAGAAAATAATAAAATTTTTTTTTATTTTTTGCTATCGCCATATCTAAATTGGCAGTAAAATAAAGGAATACATTTTCGATATATATATAAAAAAAAAATCCATGTATGCATAATTATATAATTATTTCAAACACTAACTAACTACTCCAAAATATCTCGCATGAAATATTTCTTCACCCAATTCAAAATCACCAATTGATATGATGTCCCGAAATTTTTGATCTTCCCTGACGTTTTCCCAATGTTCATTAATAAATTTCAGTGCAACATTTTTTAAATGATTATTTTTCGTTTTTCGACCAATCAACAATGCATCGCTCCAATTATCATAGTTAACCTTATTGATGATTCTTGATGAAACCAATTCACTCAATTCTGAAATTCCTCTGCTTTCCGTCTCTACACATAGATCTTTTAGCACATCAAATGGTAAATCATTTTTCAAGTCACCAGTGTATAAGTAATAAATTATCAATTTAAAGCATTGATAGGAAACATCTTTGATGGGAATTGTAGCAGATTTGGTATCTGCCCATTCTCCACTAAACATTTTATCAAAATAAGACGATCTTGCTGATAATGCTAATCTCGAAGCTTTGATTTCTAATTCATTGCTAAAGCTGAATTTTACATCACTGAACTTTTCATTATCAAAATATTTTTCCAAGGATGGTAGAAATTTATTAGTTGGATCAATCATCATTAAATTACCAATAGATGATGATTGTTGTGGTTGTTGTGGTTGTTGTTGCTGCTGCTGCTGCTGCACATCTTCAATAACAAATTGTACTTTGATCACAATATCAGTTTTAACCGTAACATCATTATCAGGAAAGATGTTTGATAATTCACAAAATTTTGCTTTACCACCACTATCGCCTTTTTGATCAAGATTAAAATCCTTTTTAAAAATTGTTTGAGTAACATTTAAACTTTGCAATTTTGGTATAGGATTTGTTACAAGCTTAAAAAGTTCAAAAGAATATTTAACTGGCCTCATTAAAATTCCATTTTTCTTTTCTGAATCTGTTTGAAACGCGTAAAGGAACAAGGAAATATGTTGATCAGTCTTATAACCATGTGGGAACAAACATAATCTCCAGGTGTGATAATCTTGCTCGTCTGCATTATCCAAAGGATTATCTATCATCATCGTATTAGTGTCATCCTCAATAATATTTTGTGTTGCGGTGAGACTACTGGTAATAGTACTATTGGAAGTGGTGGATGTATGATTGTTGTTCTGATTTAAGTGCAAATTATTAGCCATACTTGGTGAATAAAATGCTTTACTCCATACAGTTGTGCAATGCGTTGGATTTTTGTAAAAATGATGAAAATCCCCAACGAACCAAACATATGTAGCTGAAACTTTATTATCCATGGAAAAAGTTGCATTGTCAATGCTAAAAACTTTATCTGATTGAGCGACAAATGTTTCTGGTACAGAAGGTAAAAAACTAACTGACGATGTTGCTGATGGTGTCGTCGGCGTATTGAAAACAGCAGATAAAGGTGATGAAGCTGCTGTTACATTTAAGAATCTGTTTGTTTGAGGTGTAGTAGACATTTTTTTTTTTTTTTAAACGCGTATTTTGATGATCACAACCAAAACTATTATTTATTTATTTACAACAAACTTTACACAAATTGAATTGAATTGAATCTTTCAAAATTATGAATAATAAATCCGGTGAAATGTTAATTTATTATTTATTATTATTATTATTATTAAAAAGTGGAATTAAGATTTATTACTGACTTTACTCTGAACATACTAATAACAAAACAAGATGATCAAAAGAAGAACAATTATCCAAAAAAAATGTATGCATTACAATACTCAACTTATGGACCTGCATCTAAAGTATTAAAATATGAGGAAACGCAAACACCAGAAATAATATCACCACACGATGTAATTGTAAAAGTAGTAGCAGCATCAATTAATCCAATTGATTGGAAGATGAGGTCTGGTGCATTCAAATCTGTTGTTGGTATCAAAGGACAGTTTATTGGAGGAAAAGATTTCTCGGCAAGTCTCAATGAATTAATTAACGAAAAATTATTTTTCAGTAATAATAGTAACAATAATAACAGTAGTGTTTTTCTATGTATATATTATAGGGTGTAATTGTAGCCAAAGGCGATAAAGTTGATAGATTGGATATTAATGATCATGTGTTTGGATGCGTGATGAATGGTACATTTGCGGAGTAAGCTTATACACAAGATTGAAATGCGTTTTTATTAGTAAAAATTATAAATTATATTTTTTATAAAAAAAAATAAATAAATAAACAAAAAGGTATGTACGAGTTAATACATTGAAAGAAGGGATCGAGAAAAAACCATCATCTATCACACATGAAGAGGCAGCAGGTGTGGGAATTACAGCATTAACATCATGGGGTGCATTGATTGACAAAGGTATATTACCCATCAACCCTACAACAGATAAAAATAAAGTGATGATAATTGGCGCATCTGGAGGTTAGTTAAAATAATTAATGATTAAAAATAATAATAATATTTAATAATAATAATATTTTGAATGTAATTTTATATTAGGATGTGGAACGTTTTCAGTTCAAATTGCCAAGAATATTAGCAAAGCACATGTAACTGGTGTATGCTCAGGAAAAAATGTTGAACTAGTGAAAAGTTTGGGAGCTGATAGAGTGATTGATTATACGAAAATACCAGATTATTTTACATATCTTTTAGAAGAAAATGAAAAAGAATCATTTGATTTAATAATTGATTTTGTTGGGTTTGACGAATTTTACACAAAATCAATCCCGCTACTTAAGAAATCGGGAACATTTATCTCTGGTAGTAATGAATTATTTTTTAGAAATGAGCAACCAAGTCTACTACAATATGCAACAACTTTTGGAAGTATAGCTTTTAAAAGTGTTTTTGGTGCAAGAAGATATAGACATTTAATGGGAGTTCAAAGAACTGATTTACACAAGTTGTTGAAATATTTAGAAAATAGGGAAATTGTTACTGTGATTGCGCAAAAATTTAAACTGGAAGATGGTTTTAAAGCCCACGAAGCCATTGAAACAACGAGGACTGTCGGAAAAATTATTTTAACAATCTAAATTTTTTCCTACATCAATTATTTATTATTTATTATTTAACATTAAGATAATTATTTACATTGCTTGACAATGAGTTGAAACATTATTTTTAAATAAAGTGCTACATATCAGCCGATTTGGTTTTTTGGATCCTTTTTTCAAACCTTATATCGTATTGTGTCTCGACGTTAAACACGTTAAACATGATTGTAAACTGGTCAATAGAATGATAATTAACCCCCAAAAAATTTATTTGCTCCGTTAAAAAAACTATTTTACTATCGATAACCTGTCAAACCAATGGGATTTTGCTAGTATAAAGTATTCATAACTTTATGATCATACCGTACTGGATTTTGGGGTCCAAATGTTAAGCTGGGTTTAAACACAAATTCAATTTAATATTTTTAATATCCGCTCGGAACGCGCTTTAAAGATTACGTCTTGATTTATGTACAACGAATAAATATTAAATATGACAAATCTGAAGCTAATTAAAACCGTTTGGATAATTTAGCTCTAAATAGCATAGGATAATCACTATATTAATATTAATATTATGTATATTTCGAATTTATTAAAATTAGAATTTTTATTACATATTATAATTGTATTCATTATATATTTTTTTTCATTATTTTACATAAAAAAAAAATAATTAGTGGTATGCTCCTGATTAGCTGCTACAAACCAAACAATCTTGATTATTGAGTGAACAAGATATTAGATTTGAAGCTAGTAATTTGTCATCAATGTTTTTATATTCTTCATCAGCTGCTTTTGATTCTTTTAATGCTGTTTGATCAACAGTGAACTATAAAAAAAAATGCAATGTGTACAAGTTTTAGTATTAATTAATCAACTGGCTGTTATTATTTGTTTTTTATTATTACCTTAATTGCATCAACAGCTGGCTTTGTTCTAAGATAATACATTCCAGTTTTTAATCCTTTCTTCCATCCATAACTAAAATCAATAATAACGATTTTTATTAAAAATCCAAATACATAATTATCATAATATATCATTTTTTACTACTTACAAGTGCATGCTTGTTAATTTAGCAATAGTTGGTTCGGCAATATGAATATTTAGACTTTGAGACTGATCAATGAAAGCACCCCGATCAGCTGCCATATCAATGATAACTCTTTGTGATAATTCCCATGTTGTTTTAAATAATGCTTTTAACTCGTCAGGAATTCCATAGATTTTCTGTATGCTTCCATTATCCGCAATAATTCTATTTTTCATATTGTCATTCCACAAATTCAAATCTATCAAAT